AAGCCAGCAAGGGCGTGGAAGGATTGCGAGCATCATTGGTCATCGGCGCTCGCAAATGAAGAGCGCCCGCTGCACTTCCTGCACGAATGCGGATCCTTCAGCATTTTGGGGGGAGAAGCGCTCGTTTTTCTTCCGCCAAGTCACGTGGCTGCACTTGTCTGGTCCTATTACCAAGCCAACAAGGGCGTGGGAGGGTTGCGAGCATCATCGGTCATCGGCGCTCGCGAATGAAGAGCGCCCGATGTACTTCCTGCACAAATGTGGGGATCCTACCGCATTTTGGGCATAAGTGCGCTCATTTCGAGCATTTTTCTTCCATCGGGTCACGTGGCTGCGCTTGTCTGGTCCTCTTGCCAAGCAAGCAAGGGCGTGGGAGGGTTGCGAGCATCATCGGTCATCGGTGCTCGCGAATGAAGAGCCCCCACTGCACTACGTGCACATGTGCGGATCCGTTCGCGTTTTGAAATACTAACACTCGTTCGGAGCGTTTTCTTCCACCGGGTCACGTGGTTGCGCTTGTCTGGTCCTCTTGCCAAGCCAGCAAGGGCGTGGGAGTGTTGCGAGCATCATCGGTCATCGGCGCTCGCGAATGAAGAGCGCCCACTGCACTTCCTGCACATGTGCGGATCCTTCCGCGTTTCGGGGGTACAAGCGCTCGTTCCGAGCGATTATCTTCCAACAAATCACATGGTTGCGCTTATCTTATCCTATTGCCAAGCCAGCAAGGGCGTGGGAGGATTGCGAGCATCATCGGTCATCGGCGCTCGCAAATGAAGAGCGCCCGCTGCACTTTCTGCACAAACGCGGATCCTTCAGCATTTTTGGGGTAGAAGCGCTTATTCTAAGTGTTTTTCTTCCGCCAAGTCACGTGGCTGCACTTGTCTGGTCCTCTTACCAAGCCAACAAGGGCATGGGAGGGTTGCGAACATCATCGGTCATCGGCGCTCGCGAATGAAGAGCGCCCGCTACACTTCCTGTACAAATGTGGGGATCCTACCGCGTTTTGGGTGTAAAAGCGCTCGTTCCGAGCATTTTTCTTCCACCGGGTCACGTGGCTGCGCTTGTCTGGTCCTCTTGCCAAGCCAGCAAGGGCGTGGGAGGGTTGCGAGCATCATCGGTCATCGGCGCTCGCAAATGAAGAGCGCCCGCTGCGCTTCCTCCACATGTGCGGATCCTTCCGCGTTTTGGGGGTGAAAGCGCTCGTTCTGAGCGTTTTTCTTCCACCGGATCACATGGCTGCGCTTGTCTGGTCCTCTTGCCAAGCCAGCAAGGGTGTGGGAGGGTTGCGAGCATCATCGGTCATCGGCGCTCGCAAATGAAGAGCGCCCGCTGCACTTCGTGCACATATAGGGATCCTTCCTCGTTTTGGGGGTACTAGCGTTTGTTCCGAGCGTTTTTCTTCCACCGGGTCACATGGCTGCGCTTGTCTGGTCCTCTTGCCAAGCCAGCAAGGGTGTGGGAGGGTTGCGAGCATCATCGGTTATCGGCGCTCGCAAATGAAGAGCGCCCGCTGCACTTCGTGCACATGTGCGGATCCTTCCGCGTTTTGGGGGTACTAGCGCTCGTTCCGAGCATTTTTCTTCCACCGGGTCACGTGGCTGCGCTTGTCTGATCCTCTTGCCAAGCCAGCAAGGGCGTGGGAGGGTTGCGAGCATCATCGGTCATCGGCGCTCACGAATGAAGAGCGCCCGCTGCACTTCCTGCACATGTGCGGATCCTTCTGCGTTTTGGGGGTAGAAGCGCTCATTTCAAGCGTTTTTCTTTCACATAGTCACGTGGTTGCGCTTGTCTGGTCCTCTTGCCAAGCCAGCAAGGACGTGGGAGGGTTGCGAGCATCATCGGTCATCGGCGTTCGCGAATGAAGAGCGCCCGCTGCACTTCCTGTCAAACATTATATATGTTGTGTTTGTGTAGGCTGTAGTGGGTTAGCCTATAGGGGGGTCACAACATTAGGGTTTCATATTTGTACTCACAATCCTTTCTAGTTCATCATTCCAGTCCGTTATCACTGACATGGTTTCAGAGCAGGTCCGTCGCTAGGACTGTTCTTAGGGCCCACCTACCTACCTACCTACCTACTGTGCGCCTCGTGCGCCTGCGCGTCCTAGAGCGCTCCTTACCTACCTACCACGCGCACGCAGCTCGCTAGCCGCCCGCGCGTGGCTTTCCTTTTTTTTTACCGCGCGCGCCGTACTAGCCGCTCGCGCGCGGCCGTTTTCACGCGTGCGCCCGCCAGCTGCCCACGCGCACTTTATTTTCTTCGCGCGCGGCCCGTCGCGCTGCCTCCCCGCTGCCCGCGCGCCTTTGCGCTGCTGCCCGTGCGCCTCGTGGCCTCGCGCACTGCCCGCCGCTGCCCTGTGCGCCACGCTGACGCACCCGCTGCTGCAGCCGCCCGTCGCCTGCTCGCGCACGCCCTGCAGGCCCGCAGCCCGCCGTCGCAGAGGCCGCACGTCAGCAGCCGCCCGTCGCCTGCTCGCGCACACCCCGCAGCCGCCCGTCGCCTGCTCGCGCACGCCCCGCAGCCGCTCGTCGCCTGCTCGCGCACGCCCCGCTGCCCGTAGCCGCCCGTGCGCCGCTGCCACTGCCGCACGTGCGCATACGCAGCTGCCGCCCGTGCGCTGCTTCCGCTGCTGCTTGCGCACCGCCGCCTCCTGCCGTCGCCGCACGTGCACTGCTGCCGCCTGTGCGCCGCCGCTGCCCGTGTGCCGCCGCTGCCCCTACGCTGCCGCTGCCCATGCGCCGCTGCTGCCCGTGCGTCGCTGCCGCTCGTGCACCGCTCGCAGCCGCTGCCGCCCGTGCGCTTCTGCAGCCGCCGCCCGCGAGGCGCTCGCTCCCACTGTTTTTTCTACCTACCGCGCACACTGCTGCCGCTGCAGCTGCCACCAGTGCGCCGTTGCAGCTCCTGCTGCCACGCTCCCTACTACTGCCGCTCGTGTGCCACTACGGACAGTCGACCCCGCCCGCGCCTTACCTAGAGGCCCCGCCGGCCCCGTTGACCCTACGCACACCTTTCCAGCGGCCTAGTTCCTACTCCTACTACTGTCACTATGGCTAGTCCTCCCGTTCTAGCTTTCGATGCCGAGGGCCGTCCGGTGAAGTTCGAAACCTGGCTAGATGACCTGCACCTGTTCCTACAGCTCACTGCCAAAGAAGACATCTCGCTGTACGACCACGCCCTAGGCCATGCTACTGCCCCTGACACGTCTGCTGACAGCACTCTACGCTCTCAGTGGCAGACTCGTGATGCGCACGCTCGCTTTGCTATTCGCAACTCCCTGCCGCTAGACGAGCGCGAGCACTTCGGCCAGTGCAAGACTGCTAAGGACCTCTACACCGCTGTAGTTGCCCGTTACTCCTCACCCGCTTCTGCCACACTAGGCCGCCTCACTCTCCCCTACCTGTTCCCCGACCTAGCCTCCTTTCACACTGTCGCAGACCTCATCACCCACCTTAAGACTAGTGAGGCCCGCTTTCGCGCTGCTATGCCTGCCGAGTTTCTCACTAGCAACCCCCCCCCGCTCTGGATCACTCTCTACCACATCGTCACCCGCCTCCCTGACTCTCTGCGTGCAGTCAGGGACCACTTCCTCTCTCGCTCCCCCACTGAGCTCACTGTTGCCCTCCTCGAGAAGGAACTGCTTGCAGCTGAGGCGAGCATCGTCGCTGTAGGCACCTCTCGTGGCGACCCCCGCACCCCGTTCTTCGAGGGGTGTTCCCCTTCCCCCCTCCTCCCCTCTGTCGCCTCTGCTGCTGCTGTCGACCTCCTTGGTGCTGAGAAGGTCGGGACCGCGTCTGCTTCGAGCGGGCGCCGCAGGAGCAAGGGAGGCAGGGGTGGGGGTGGTGGCGGAGGAGGTGGGGGTGGAGGCGGTGGGAGTGGAGGCGCGACTGGGGAGGCTAGTGGCGGCAGTGGGGGAGGAGACAGCAGCGGCGGGAGCGGTGGCAGGGGTGGAGGCGGCAGCGGAGGTGGAGGTGGTCGTGGCGGCGGCAGGGGTGGAGGTGGCCGAGGCGGTGGTGGTGGCGGTGGTGGTCGTGGAGGCACTGGCGGAGGCCCGAGTCAGCAGCCCGCCCCGACGCTTCAGGCCGCCCGTGAGTGGTATGCGCAGCGTGGCTTTACCTGCACGTACGTCATTCGCACAGGTGACCGCAGCGGCCAGCAGTGTGGGAGGCCGCACCCCACGCACCGCTGCTTCGCGCGCCTTAACGACGCGTGGCGCACCCAGTTTCCTGATGCCGCTGAGCTGCCGCGCTGGGCTGATCTGGAAAAGAGGGGTGTTGATATTTGGGCTCTAGACTTTGATGCTATTCTCACTGCCATGTATGCCATGTCTATTAGTGGAGAGGGTGCTCAGTACTTGCGTGTTCCGCCCGACCCGGGCATTCAGGCCAGTCCGGCTGCCGCTCTAGGTGCTAGTGCGTCTGCTCCCACAGGTCCTGGTGAGGCTGCTGCCCTAGGTGCTAGTGCGTCCGTGCCCCCTGGTACTGAGTTGACTGCAGCACTGCACACCTTCACACTGGACTCAGGTGCCTCTCGCTCTTTCTTTTGTGACCGCACTGTCCTTGAGCCACTCGCTCGGCCAGTTGCTGTCTCCCTTGCTGACCCCTCTGGGGGTCCGGTCATTGCGACCTCCTCCACTGTTCTTCCTTGTCCTGCGGTCCCGTCCGGCACGCTTTCAGGTCTCTACCTCCCCTCGTTCTCTACGAACTTGGTGGCGGGTTGTGCGCTCCAGGACTCGGGTGTTCACCAGTTCACCCCTGCCTACGAGCGCGTGACACACTGCACATGTGCTCGGACGGGTCGCCACCTGGCTACTTTCACTCGAGAGCCGGGGTCGGACCTGTACACACTGACCACTGAGTCCCCTCAGGTAGCTGCGTCTGCGTCTACGTCTGCGTCTGCGTCAGGTCAGCTGTCCGCCCCCTGCTCGTGTCGCTCTCTGGCACATGAGACTGTCCTTTGGCACCACCGCCTTGGTCACCCGTCTGTGCAGCGCCTTCGGGCCATGCACAAACGGGACCTTGTTGCTGGTCTTCCCAGGGTGCTCCCTCCCCTTCCCGACTCGCCTGCTCCTCCCTGTATTCCCTGTGTCGAGGGGCGGCAGCGCGCCGCTCCTCACTCCTCCTCCTTTCCCCCGACGACTGCTCCCTTGCAGACGCTCCACTTGGACGTGTGGGGCCCAGCCCGCGTCCGTGGACAGGGTCAGGAGCGGTACTTCCTGCTCGTTGTTGACGACTTCTCGCGCTACACCACGGTCTTCCCCTTGCGAGCCAAGGGTGACGTACCTGATGTCTTGATCCCTTGGATCCGCAGATCTCGTCTCCAGCTCACCAGGCGTTTCCGCTCCGACTTTCCTGTCCTGCGTCTGCACTCTGACAGAGGTGGGGAGTTTTCCTCTGGCCTCCTGGAGGCCTTCTGTCAGCAGGAGGGCATTGAGCAGTCGTTCACGCTTCCGGCCTCTCCACAGCAGAATGGGGTTGCTGAGCGCCGCATTGGTCTAGTCATGGAGGTCGCTCGTACCTCCTTGAGTCATGCGGCTGCCCCCCATTTTCTGTGGCCGTTTGCGGTCCGATACGCTGCGCATCAGCTCAACCTCTGGCCCCGTGTCTCCTTGCCCGAGACTTCTCCGACACTGCGCTGGACGGGAGAGGCTGGCGATGCGTCGCGTTTTCGGGTCTGGGGATCCCGAGCTTTTGTCCGCGACACGTCCGCGGACAAGCTCTCCCGTCGCGCTGTCCCCTGCGTCTTCCTTGGCTTTGTCCCGGACGCCCCTGGTTGGCAGTTCTACCACCCCACCTCGCGTCGTAACCTGGCCTCTCAGGACGTCACTTTTGACGAGTCCGTCCCCTACTACCGCCTCTTCCCCTACCGCACTGCCCCGCTCCCCCCCCCGCCTCTCTTCCTCGCTCCAGGTGCTGAGGTACCAGACCCCCTCCCCCCTCAGGGTGCCGCTCCCTCAGGTGTGTCCCAGGTAGACCCGGGTGAGCCTGTCGAGGTAGCTGTTGACTCTCGTCCTGCGTCTGGGGGTGCTGAGCCTGGGGGTGCTGAGTCTGGGGGTGCGGAGCCTGGGGGTGTTGAGCCTGGAGGTGCGGAGCCTGGCGGTGCGGAGCCTGGAGGTGCTGAGCCTGGGGGTGCGGAGTCTGGGGGTGCTGAGTCTGGGGGTGCTGAGACTGAGCGTGCTACACCTGGAGGAGCCCTCTCCTCCCAGCAGCTGCAGGAGAGGTACCTCGAGTACTGCCGCCTCCGGAGAGGTGCTACTGGAGCTCGTCCCGGTACTTCCCCTCCTACCCAGGAGCTCCCCCCCATTCAGCAGATCCGAGAGTGGTACACACGCCGCTGCAGTCTTCGGAGTGGTCCTCCGGGTGCTGCGGACCTTGGGGGTGGCGCTGCTACTGGTGCTGAGGACCCGGGCGTTGGGGCTGCTGCTGGTGCTGAGGACCCGGGCGTTGGAGCTGCTGCTGGTACTGCGGACCCGAGCGGTGACGCTGCTGCTGGTGCTGAGGACCCGGGCGTTGGAGCTACTGCTGGAGCTGAGGACCCGGACGGTGGAGCTGCTGCTGGTACTGAGGACCCGGGCGCTGGAGCTGCTGCTGGTGCTGAGGACCCGGGCGGTGGAGCTGCTGCTGGTGCTGAGGACTCGGACGTTGGAGCTACTGCTGGAGCTGAGGACCCGAGCGGTGGTGCTGCTGCTGGTGCTGAGGACCCGGCCGGTGGAGCTGCTGCTGGTGTTGAGGACCCGGACGTTGGAGCTGCTGCTGGTGCTGAGGACCCTGCCGCTGGTGTCTCTGCTGGTTCTGGAGACGCTACGCGGCCGCGACCGTACTTCGTACCACTTCTTCAGCAGGTTCTTGGTCAGGCTCCTCCTCCCTGTCCTCCTCCCTCAGTAGAGTGTCCTCCGCGTGTCCAGTCGCCGTCACAGTTACCGCCTGCCTCGCCTCTCCCTGCTCCCTCTCCTTACACTGGTCCCACGGGAGGTCTTACAGAGCGTCGTGAGCCTGAGTCTCGTCCTACGTCGCCTGTTCGTACTACTCGCACTGGTCGTCGTGTCCCACGTGAGCGTCCTCCTCCTGTCCCTGGCACTCACTACATGACTCTGCGTCCCTCCACTGCTCCTCAGCGTGTCCCGCTACCGTCTCCTCCTGCTTCCTCTCTGCCTACTCTTCCTGACCCGGAGTCTGACTCCCGTCGTGCTGCCAGTCCCACTGTCACCCGTCTCCTCGCTACTGTTGTCACTGACCCTGCCTTTGAGTCCTCTGCTGCGTCTGCTCTAGTCGCTGAGTTGATCGACTTTGCTGCCCGGTGTCGTCTAGACTACGCCACTAGCCTTGTTGCTGAGTCTGAGTCTGAGTCTGTCTGTCCTCCGTCCGTCGGGGGTGAGTGTGCTCTTGGCACGGACGTCCTTGAGGACAAACAGGAGGAGTTCCAGTGCTTTGCTGCTGCTTTACCCCACCTCGTGTCCATGCTAGTTGCCCCTGAGGGAGACCCGGATGCACCAGACATCCCGACCCCGCGCACTTACGCTGAGGCGATGGCGGGTCCCTACTCCTCTCAGTGGCAGACAGCCATGGACGCAGAGATGGCTTCCTGGAAGTCCACACGCACCTACGTCGACGAGGTTCCCCCACCTGGGGCGAACATCGTCAGTGGCATGTGGATTTTCAGGGTGAAGCGGCCACCGGGTTCTCCTCCTGTCTTCAAGGCGCGCTACGTGGCTCGAGGCTTCAGTCAGCGAGAGGGAGTTGACTTCTTTCAGACCTTCTCCCCCACCCCGAAGATGACCACTCTTCGGGTGCTGCTGCACATAGCCGCTCAGCGCGACTACGAGCTTCACTCACTTGACTTCAGCACTGCTTTCTTGCAGGGCAGCCTACACGAGGAGATCTGGCTGCGCCGCCCTCCTGGCTTCACTGGGTCGGTTCCTCCTGGTACCCAGTGGAGGCTTCAGCGGCCGGTCTACGGTCTCCACCAGGCACCGCGTGAGTGGCACGACACACTGAGGACGACACTTGCGACTCTTGGGTTCGCTCCCTCTACTGCTGACCCGTCACTGTTTCTACGCACAGACACCTCACTGCCGCCGTTCTACATCCTCGTGTACGTCGACGACTTGGTCTTTGCCACTGCTGACACCGCGGCACTTGCCCACGTGAAGTCGGAGCTGCAGAGGAGACACACGTGTACAGACCTGGGTGAACTGACAAGCTATCTTGGCTTGCGGATCACCCGGGACAGAGCACGGCGCACCATCACCTTGACTCAGTCACACATGGTGCAGCAGATCCTTCAGCGCTTCCGCTTCACGTACTCCTCGCCTCAGTCCACTCCTCTGCCTACCGGTCACTCGCTCTCAGCTCTGCCTTCGGATGAGTCCGTAGAGCCGAGTGGCCCGTATCCAGAGCTTGTGGGCTGCCTCATGTACCTGATGACCTGCACTCGACCTGACCTTGCATACCCTCTTAGCATCCTTGCACGCTATGTCGCTCCTGGCCGTCACAGGAAGGAGCACATGGATGCCGCTAAGAGGGTGTTGCGCTACTTGTGCAGTACGTCGGGCATGGGGCTAGTGCTTGGAGGGCGAGACCGAGTTGTACTTACAGGACACTCAGACGCTTCTTGGGCGGACGACCAGGCTACTCAGCGGTCGTCTCAGGGTTACACCTTCAGCCTTGGCTCCGGCTCAGTTTCTTGGCGTTCTACACGCTCTTCTTCTGTTCTCAGCTCCAGTTGTGAGGCTGAGATCTACGCCACAGCCATGGCTGCCCAGGAGCTTCGCTGGCTGACCTACCTGCTGACCGACTTGGGTGAGCGGCCTCGTTCTCCTCCAGTGCTGTACGTCGACAACCAGGCTGCCATTGCCTTGTGTGAGGAGCACAGACTGGAGCACAGAACGAAGCACATCGCCCTGCGGTACTTCCTTGCTCGAGAGTTGCAGCAGCGCGGTCAGCTTTGTCTGCGTTACGTGGCCACTGAGGCCAACCTTGCTGATGTGTTCACCAAGGCGCTTCCGCCTTGTGACCATCAGCGCTTCTGCACTCTGCTAGGCCTTGTGCCTACTGGACCTCACTTACTTACCTCTTGACCTTGCTTGTACTGTGATCACTATATATATATCTACCTGCATGTTTACTCTTGCTAGGTTGTGATCACTGTATCTCATGCTCTGTTATAAACCTGCATGTGAACTGGTCTTGTGACCACTAGCTTGTGCTCGGAATTTGTGTGGTATCCTTGAGATCCACCCTGAGCTTGTTGTTGCCTTGCTTTGCCTTGACTGGTCTTGTGACCCCTAGGTCTCCCCCACTTTGCCTATGGGGGTGTGTCAAACATTATATATGTTGTGTTTGTGTAGGCTGTAGTGGGTTAGCCTATAGGGGGGTCACAACATTAGGGTTTCATATTTGTACTCACAATCCTTTCTAGTTCATCATTCCAGTCCGTTATCACTGACACTTCCTGCACATGTGCGAATCCTTCCGCGTTTTGGGGGTACAAGCGCTCGTTCCGAGCGAATATCTTCCAACAAATCACATGGTTGCGCTTATCTTGTCCTATTGCCAAGCCAGCAAGGGCGTGGGAGGATTGCGAGCATCATCGGTCATTGGCGCTCGCAAATGAAGAGCGCCCGCTGCACTTCGTGCACATGTGCGGATCCTTCCGCGTTTTGGGGGTACTAGCGCTCGTTCCGAGCGTTTTTCTTCCACCGGGTCACGTGGCTGCGCTTGTCCGACCCTCTTGCCAAGCCAGCAAGGGCGTGCGAGGGTTGCGAGCATCATCGGTCATCGGCGCTCGCGAATGAAGAGCGCCCGCTGCACTTCCTGCACATGTGCGGATCCTTCCGCATTTTGGGGGTACTAGCGCTCGTTTCGAGCGTTTTTCTTCCACCGGGTCACGTGGCTGCGCTTGTCTGGTCCTCTTGCCAAGCCAGCAAGGGCGTGGGAGGGTTGCGAGCATCATCGGTCATTGGCGCTCGCAAATGAAGAGCACCCACTGCACTTCGTGCGCGTATACAGATCCTTCCTCCTTTTGGGGGTACTAGCGCTCGTTCCGAGCATTTTTCTTCCACCTGGTCACGTAACTGCGCTTCTCTGGTCCTCTTGCCAAGCCAGCAAGGGCGTGGGAGGGTTGCGAGCATCATCGGTCATCGGCGCTCGCGAATGAAGAGCGCCCGCTGCACTTCGTGCACATGTGCGGATCCTTCCGCGTTTTGGGGGTACTAGCGCTCGTTCCGAGCGTTTTTCTTCAACCAGGTCACGTGGCTGCGCTTGTTTGGTCCTCTTGCCAAGCCAGCAAGGGCGTGGGAGGGTTGCGAGCATCATCGGTTATCGGCGCTCGCGAATGAAGAGTGCCCGCTGCACTTCCTGCACATGTGCGGATCCTTTCGCGTTTTGGGGGTGAAAGGGCTCGCTCGTTCTGAGCGTTTTTCTTCCACTGGGTCACGTGGCTGCGCTTGTCTGGTCCTCTTGCCAAGCCAGCAAGGGCGTGGGAGGGTTGCGAGCATCATCGGTCATCGGCGCTCGCGAATGAAGAGCGCCCGCTGCACTTCGTGCACATGTGCGGATCCTTCCGCGTTTTGGGGGTACTAGCGCTCGTTCCGAGCATTTTTCTTCCACCGACTCACGTGGCTGCGCTTCTCTGGTCCTCTTGCCAAGCCAGCAAGGGCGTGAGAGGGTTGCGAGCATCATCGGTCATCGGCGCTCGCGAATGAAGAGCGCCCGCTGCACTTCGTGCACATGTGCGGATCCTTCCGCGTTTTGGGGGTACTAGCGCTCGTTCCGAGCGTTTTTCTTCCACCGGGTCACGTGGCTGCGCTTGTTTGGTCCTCTTGCCAAGCCAGCAAGGGCGTGGGAGGGTTGCGAGCATCATCGGTCATCGGCGCTCACGAATGAAGAGCGCCCGCTGCACTTCCTGCACATGCGCGGATCCTTCCGCGTTTTGGGGGTGAAAGTGCTCGCTCGTTCTGAGCGTTTTTCTTCCACCGGGTCATGTGGCTGCGCTTGTATGGTCCTCTTGCCAAGCCAGCAAGGGCGTGGGAGGGTTGCGAGCATCATCGGTCATCGGCGCTCGCGAATGAAGAGCGCCCACTGCACTTCCTGCACATGTGCGGATCCTTCCGCGTTTTGGGGTACTAGCGCACTAATGTGCGGCTGACATCACTTCGACCGGGCCATTCCGGACGCCCTGAGCCGACCCTTCCAGAACCTCCGCACATGTGTAGAGGATTGCGAAGCAGTCAGCAGTTCTTGCGCACGAGCGTGCTCCCCGTGCCCGCTCCTACCTGACAAAATAGTCTCAAGCGGGAAACGCGCATGAATGCGCGGCCGACATCACTTCGACCGGGCCATCGCGGACGCCCTGAGCCCAGCCTTCTCCAATGCGCAGGACCTCCGTACATGTGTAGAGGATTGCGAAGCGGTCGGGAGTTCTTGTGCACGAGCGTGCTCCACGTGCCCCCTGCTATGTGGCAGAATAGTCTCAAGCGGCAAACGCGCACGAATGCGCGGCCGACATCACTTCGACCGGGCCATCCCGGACGCCCTGAGCCGACCCTTCTCCAAAGCGCGGGACCTCTGCACATGTGTAGAGGATTGCGAATCGGTCGGGAGTTCTTGCGCACGAGCGTGCTCCACGTGCCCCCTCCTACCTGGCAAAGTAGTCTCAAGCGGCAAACGCGCACGAATGCGTGGCCGACATTACTTCGACCGGGCTACCCCGGACGCCCTGAGCCGACCCTTCTCCAAAGCCCGAGACCTCCGTACATGTGTAGAGGATTGCGAAGCTGTCGGAAATTCTTGCGCACGGGCGTGCTCCCTGTTCCCCTACATACCTGGCAAAATAATCTCAAGCGGCAAACGCGCACGAATGTGCGACCGACATCACTTCGACCGGGCCATCGCGGACGCCCTGAGCCCACCCTTCTCCAAAGCCCGGGACCTCCGTACATGTGTAGGAGATTGCGAAGCAGTCGGGGGTTCTTGCGCACGGGCGTGCTCCCCGTGCCCCCTCCTACCTGGCAAAATAGTCTCAAGAGGCAAACGTGCACGAATGCGCGGCCGACATCACTTCGACCGGGCCATCCTGGACGCCCTGAGCCCACCATTCTCCAAAGCGCGGGACCTCCGCTTGAGACTATTTTGTCAGGTAGGACGGGGCACGGGGAACACGCTCGTGTGCAAGAACCCCCGAACTCTTCGCAATCCTCTATACATGTTCGGAGGGTGTGCGCTTTGGAGAAGGGTCGGCTAAGGGCGTCCGGGATGGCCCGGTCGAAGTGATGTCGGCCGCGCATTCGTGTGTGTTTGCCGCTTGAGACTATTCCGCCAGGTAGTAGGGGGCACGTGGAGCACGCTCGTGCACAAAAACCCCCGACCGTTTCGCAATCCTCTGCACATGTGCGGAGGTCCCGCGCTTTGGAGAATGGTCGGCTCAGGGCGTCCGGGATGGCCCGGTCGAAGTGATGTCGGCCACGCATTCGTGCGTGTTTGCCGCTTGAGACTATTTTGTCAGGCCGGAGGGGGCACGGGGAGCACGCTCGTGTGCAAGAACCCCCGACCACTTCGTAATCCTCTATACATGTTCGGAGGGTGCGCGCTTTGGAGAAGGGTCGGCTCAGGGCGTCCGGGATGGCCCGGTCGAAGTGATGTCGGCCGCGCATTCGTGTGCATTTGCCGCTTGAGACTATTTTGTCAGGTAGGAGGGGGCACGAGGAGCACGCTCGTGTGCAAGAACCCCCGACCGCTTCGCAATCCTCTATACCTGTTCGGAGGGTCCGCGCTTTGGAGAAGGGTCGGGTCAGGGCGTCCGGGTTGGCCTGGTCGAAGTGATGTCGGCCGCGCATTCGTGCGCGTTTGCCGCTTGATACTATTTCGCCAGGTAGGAGGGGGCACTTGAAGCACGCTCGTGCGCAAGAACTCCCGACCGCTTCGCAATCCTCTACATATGTGCGGAGGTCCCTCGCTTTGGAAAAGGGTCGGCTCAGGGCGTCCGGGATGGCCCGGTCGAAGTGATGTCTGACGCGCATTCGTGCGCGTTTGCCGCTTGAGACTATTTTGTCAGGTAGGAGGGGGCACGGGGAGCACGCTCGGGTGCAAGAACCCCCGACCGCTTTGCAATCCTCTATACATGTTCGGAAGGTCCGCGCTTTGGAGAAGGGTCGGCTAAGGGCGTCCGGGGTGGCCCGGTCGAAGTGATGTCGGCTGCGCATTCGTGCGCGTTTGCCGCGTGAGACTATTTTGCTATGTAGGAGGGGGCACGTAGAGCACGCTCGTGCGCAAGAACTCCCGACCGCTTCACAATCCTCTACATATGTGCGGAGGTCCCGCGCTTTGGAGAAGGGTGGGGTCAGGGCGTCCGGGATGGCCCGGTCAAAGTGATGTCGGCCGCGCATTCGTGCGTGTTTGCCGCTTGAGACTATTTTGTCAGGTAGGAGGGGGCACGGGGAGCACGCTCGTGTGCAAGAACCCCCGACCGCTTCGCAATCCTCTACACATGTGCGCAGGTTCTTCATGCGGCAGGCCCGTTTGGAGGCAAAAAGACCTAAAAACGTATCCCAAAGTATCTAGGATAGTGGCAAACACGATCGTGCCGGGCCGTCTTGAATCCGAGTAACATTGCTTCACATTTATACAGGTACGGATTTCGCAGCTTTCCGGACTCATTAACGCCCATATAGGGGACTCATATCGTGCTGAGCAGTCTCGGATCCGAGTAACATTGCTTCACATTTTGTACCGGTACAGATTTCGCATACTTCTGGGCTCATAAACGCCCTTATAGGGGACGGTTCTTCATGCGGCGGGCCCGTTTGAAGGCAAAAAAAGCTAAAAACGTATCTCAAAGTATCTAGGGTTGTGGCAAACACGATCGTGCCGGGCCTTCCCGGATCCGAGAAACATTGCTTCACATTCTATACCAGTACGGATTTCGCAGCTTTCCGGGCTCATTAACGCCCTTATAGGGGACGGTTCTTCATGCGGCGGGCCCGTTTGAAGGCAAAAAGAGCTAAAGACGTATCCCAAAGTATCTAGGATTGTGGCAAACACGATTGTGCCAGGCCGTCCCGGATTCGAGTAACATTGCTTC